ATTTAATATTTATAAATATATTATTTTTATATCTATTATTTATTTATTTTTATGTAATTCAAATATAATACTTACTTAAACAAATCAAATATTTATAAATAATGAATGTACTCGTATCAATGCTTAGCCTTGGTAAAATACTGTCAAATGGGAGATTGGCTGGCAAAAGTCCACATATTACCTTTCAACTTTTTGAGTGTGTAAAATTTTATTTTTTATATTACAATATAAGATTTTATACTTTTTTGGTATTTAAGTTTATGATTTAATACTTTTATGATATTTAAGTATGTGAAATGTTACCCTTAACCTTACAACTTTCTAGGGATGCACATGATCCCATAACGTTAAAAATTACCTCATTATCATAAACTCAAATCCTCTTGGTATTTCAGCTTATGATTTTATACTTTTATGATATTTAAATATGTGAAATATTACCCCTAACCTTACAACTTTCTAGAGATGCACATGATCCCACAACATTAAAAATTACCCCATTATCATAAACTCAAATACTAAAAGAATATAAACTCACATATTATAAAGTAAAGGGCAAAGTTTCACACATTCAAAAAATTGAAAGGCAATATGTGGGGTTTTTGCCGAGATTGGCTGAGAATTAATGTACAAGGAATTTTGGGGGCATAACGGGTTTAAGGTCCATTGGGGATAAATTGTAGAGTCTAGTCTAGTGGCCAGTGGTGGTCCAACCATTTATAACTCGCCGTGTGGAAAGGAAGAAACCTTGCAAAGTCAGAATTTTCGGACGAGTTGTGACGGGTTAAGACTTCATTGGATAGCATCTTTCGTGGTGGAGTCGCTGAGGTAGGAAGGCACTATATGTTGTAATTTTTCATCTTTTCTTTTTTGGCAATTTGATGAAAGATTATATGGGAATGTCTCTCTCATTTCTTCATGTTTCTTTCCCCCTTTATTAAGATTTAAGAGGTGTTTGTTTTGTTGTTTAGTAAAAGGTTTTTTTAACTTGTATTTATAGAGTATAAATTAAAAATCTTAAAAATATAAAAAATAATATTTAATTTATTTATATGATGTTGACATTAAAATTAATTTTTATTTTTATATTTTTATACAAACTTATTATAAAAATATACTCTTAAGACATAAATTAAAAAAAAATAGTAAATAGTTATTAATTGTTATCTTTTCCTATTCTTTTTTATTTAGTGACAAACACTATACATTATACTGATGTGTCTACATCCTTAAGACACCTCGACAGTGAAGAAAAAGGCATTTGGGTGCTATCAACATCTTTTTCATGGTGGGAAAAAAATAATAAAAGGAGAAAAAAAAACACCTTTTTCTTGCGCATTACCATTGGCTGTCATGTACTAATTCGCTTTATTCAATAATTGTTTTATTAACTATTTATTTTATTTTATTTTAATTTAAAAAGTTATTTGTTTTTAAAATAATCTATAAACTTTGTAAAATATTTCAGAATATTCTATTATATAAATTTTTTTAGTTTTAATAAAAAGATAACAAAAAAGTTAAATCAAAATTAAAATAACATAATCCCATCCAACAAAATAATCTAT